TGGGTGGAATGATCTGCTGATCTTTCCCACTGCCCCATTTCATCTCCCATAAAGCTGAAAAGCTGCCTTGGCTCACATTCATGTTAACCATCACCCTGCATCTGATCAGATTTTTAGACATTTGGGATGAAGTTGCTCTTAAAATGGATGTAGCCCAGAGAAGCTGTGGCTGCCCCATCCCTGGAAGTGTTCAAGGCCAGGATGGATGGATCTCTGAGCACCCTGGTCTAGTGGAAAGTGTCCCTGTGCATGTCAAGGGTTGGAATGAGATTCATCCTGAAGGTCCCTTCCAACCCAAACAATTCTGTGATTCTACCATTGCAAATGAAGAGCTGTCCCACTCCCTGCAGCCTCACCAGCACTTAGAGCAGATGTTGAAGAGTGTTTTGCTTGCAGGGTGCATGAATGGCTTCATCCAGCATACTGTGGGTCTGCTGACAGTCTCCTCCTTGATTTCAGCAGACTTTGGCTCAGTTGTGGTTGAGCAAAGTACCTCAGGAATAGCTCTGGTGTTAGCAGAGAATTTTCTACTCTATTATTCACATGGGTTTTTAAACAATGTCCACTGAAATCAGTGTGCCTCTTTTCATCAACTGCAGTTGGCTTTGGATCAGGCCTGGGAAGATGAACATCTTCCAGAAATGCCATTGGATAATTTCTTTAAAAATCTTTGAACAAAGATATATGACCCATGGGATGATCAGCAGGGAAGAAAGTCCCATCTCTCTTTTATACAGTTGGCTTCCTGCTCATATCAGCAATAATTTAGATAATTAAATTGCTTAGTTCAGTAGTTGGAAGAAGCACAATCAACAAGCTGACTCCACTAAGATGTCAGATGTATTAGTGTGCTGGGTTTTATATTTGTTTTTCTTTTTTGTGTGTGTGTGAAAAGCTGTATAATTGGACACTGTCTTTTTCACCCCCAGCTAACCTCTTCTTCAGAGGAGCATACCAAAGACATTTAAAATCACATTATGAATGCCAGCATAGTTACAACATTTATATGGCATATGGTGATGTTCAGTGGCAGCAGACGAATGGATGAAATCAAGCACAATAATAGAATCAGCCCCCCTTGAATTTAACAGTAAGACAAACAATTCAGTGGTATAATTTAGTAATATGCAAGCAAGAGCTTGAATATTTTAATGAGGAGTCTAAAGTACATAACTGGGCATACTTTTAACATTTAACTTTGATTCAGTGGTCTTTGTTCTGTCCCTGTGGGGTCTTTGAACTTTTCCTCACATGTGGTAGAAAAAGTTTTATTTAATCACACTCCTGAAATGCTCATCTTACTGTGACTGCAGCTTTATTTTGTTTTGTTTTATGAATATTTGTGGCTGAATCATTCTTCTGAAGAATGAAGGAGATCAGAGAAAGTGTTCAGTGTTGTTCCATCTCTAACTCACGTGGGTTTTGTTGTTTGTGGCATCCCTCAAACCAGGACAGAAGAGCAGGATCTGGAGAGGCTGAGATTGGGTATATCCAGAGCCAGTGCAAATTGCTTCTCCTAGGAGTGCCATGAAGTTTTCTTCTCTGCCACATTCTCTGTGTCTGCCCCCCGCTGTGTCTTTCCTTCTATTTTTTCAAGATACCACTCCTAAACAAACAATTTTGCTTCTCATTTTACACAAAAACATTTTTCATCCTTGTTTTCTGAATTGCAGTGTTGAGATGAGAAATCCAAGTTCCCCTCTGGCTTTTTTTTTTTTTAATGGATGTTTTTGCCCTGCATTCCCCAAAGAGTATTTACTTATTCTTCATAATTAGAGAGATCTTACCATGGATTCCAACTGACCTAAAACTCTACACTAACCCCCACAAAAAGCCATCCTGAAGCTGAAAGTTCATATAGAACTCATGCCTATCTTTTGCATATTGTTTATTCAGCTGTGAGATGGTATGAATAGCTTTATGCTGTGCTTGTATTTTGAGTGTAGAGAGCTCACTCTAACATTCACCGACTTCCCAGCCAGGATGCCATTCCCACATCATGTTTGCATGTAGCCAGAAGTATTCACTCCTTTTTTTCCCATTAAACTATTAAAAAGACAGACAGAGAGTCCACAGTTCAGTAATAAATACGGACGTGATAGGATTTGTCAGTTCTTTTTGCAATATCCCTTAATGCATCAAAAGGGAATCCCAAAATGATGTTTGTGAAATAAAAAGAAAATGGGAGATATTTTTAAATTATGTACATTGACTTAGGCCTCTTTGAGCAAAATTATTCCCACATGATAGGTTGAACTAAAAATAATAGTAATTAAGAAAAAATCCATATTGGCCATTTGGAAATAGGGTTAAATATAGAGAATTTCTTAGACTTGGATCACTCTGAAAACTAAACTGCCTCAATTTTGGCTCCTTTTTGACGTTTTCTCCTGGAAAGGGAAATAAATAGTGATCAGCTGCTGCAATTTCAAACTGGGCTCAGTCTCAAAGTGGCTGACTGAAGTGGGAATGAAACAAGTGTGGAAAACCCATAGCTAAAAGTATTTCATTTCCAACCTTTCTTATAACTCTTCTGAAGACTTCATTGCCATGACATGAGTCCTGTTGATGTAAATGGGGCAATTTTCTGTCACTGGTATATTTGTACATAAAGTAGTTGCAAGTTAAGAGACTTAGTTCAATTCTTTGTGCTATAAAAGTGGATAAAATTATATATTTTGGCCAGAATGCAATAATAATATTGAACCATAAATACGTATTAAAGCCACCACAAGTTATGATTATAGATTTTAAGCAGATGTTCTGATTTGATTTGTGGCTTTTTCTTCCCGCACTATTTTTAGCCTAAATGGCTGCTCTGAGACACCTTGCAGCACTCAAAATGCAGAAACGAGCCCTTGAAGTGCTCTGGCAAGGAGGGGAGATGAATGAGCCCTTAGAGACAGAGCCCTCAGGCCTGGCTGTGGAGGAAGTTCTTCTGCTGGGGTGGAATCCCACACGCACCCAGTGAGCCCCATCCACCAAACTGCATCTGCTGCTCACAGAGCCCGGGTTGTTCTGCTGACTGACACCAGCTGGTGCTCTGCTCCTTTTATCCTGGCCTGCTGTGGGTTAGCAGCTGGCCAAGACTGTTTTTAAGAGTGTATTTATAAAACTTCACAGCCGTGCAAGCCCAGATACGGAGCGAGGACGTTTTGAGCGCGGCGCTGGAAGCGCAGGATGTCTCCTGGCAGATCTGGTTTCCCAGCTCTTGCTGCTGCTGCCACAAACCTGCTGTCCCATCTCTTGTGCCCAAAAACAATGTTTCCTAAAAAAATCCAGGGGAGCAGAAACCTTGGGCTGAAGGCTCCCATGGATATTTAAAGTCATGATTGTCCTGATCCCTCTGCAGGCGGCTGCCTGATTGGTATTTCAATAACGTGCTTATTTAGAAGGAAATTCTAACTCCTGTAGGGCACAGTGGTATTTTCATGCCTTTTTTACCCTGCAGCCTTTTCCAGCTGGCTCAAAGCTGAACACCTCACTGTCTGGTAGGGACATCGTCTGGCTGAGGTGTAAACTACAGCACCGATTGTGTCATTTGTATTTAGGGTTGGTACATGAATAAATATGATTTTTTAAAAATCTTTCTTGTATTTATATTCCACTGCTGGCAGATACTTCTAAATTTTATTTACAGTGAATGTTTTATTATATGTATTGCTTTTCTCCTTGTCTGCATAGGATACAGACTTCTGAAAATAACCTGGTTTTTATCTTTTGGAAAGAGCCTGTATTTTTTGTTGGGATAAGGATTTATAGTGACATCTTGACAACTTCATAAAGTTTTTTCCCCTTTTTAATTTCCTAAGCCAGCGCAACATGCTGAGATACATGGTAGAGATAGGCCCAACATCTGAGTGATCAAAACGGGTTTTGAACAAATGCTGACGCCACCATTCTTCCTGTCTGTGATTCCCACAGAACCTTATTGCTTTGAAAAGAAATACCCTAGAAGGCATAATTGACTCTGCAGCAATGAACTACATCAGACAGTGTCCCCTTCATGACTTCTACCCAGCTATCAACAGTGAGAAGCAGACGTGCATGTTAAAAGACTGAGAAGGCACAACTTCCCCAAGAAAATGGACAAAAATCATTAGAATCCTTAAAGAGGAAAAGAAAGAATCAGGAGATGGGGAAAAGTTTTTGAAAATGATGCCTCAGGCAGTGAGAGCTGCAGAGTGGAAGCTTGTTTCTACCTTCTGGGTGTTCAAACAGTAGATCAAACTGCAATGACTTCATGATATAATAAAAAATAATGAAACAAGGGCAATAACAGATTTTTTGTTTTAAAGTGTCAATCTAGTGTTAGAAAACACAGCTTAACTTTTAAAAGCTCAGCCACTTTGCCTGGCTTCTTACAATACCTTCTGACTTCAGTGACTCCACTCAAAGTCAACCCAAACGAAAGACCTTATATTGAAGATAACCCTGAGCTTTTGTACATCTTAAGCTAAATAGGGGAAAGACATGTTTTGAAACTGCTGAGTTTACTCTTGCAGAGAAGGACTGATGTCAACAAATACGTGCATGAAAACAGTGCTGTATTTTTAGCATTTGCCATTTTTGGGGCTCCAGAACTGAAAGCAGTGAAGGGTGAAGTGGCAACGGGTTGTGTGTGTGATTTGTAGTGGTTTGTATCTGGGCTCTGTGCTGTGTATCTCCTAATGATGAATGCGTGGGAGGGCCAGGTCAGGAATGGTTTCCACTCCAGTGCGCTGATTGTGTAGTTGGCAGTGGGCTCAATTAAAGTATAATAATCTGGTAATCTCTCTCCTGTTTCCATTCAGCTGCTTCACAGTGAATAGAGCCAGTGAACGAGTATAGCTTTTGAAAAGTAGGTGAACTCCTGCCTCTTTGTCTGAGCAGTTTATGTCTAGTCAAGTAAAATGACAGGCAGAGGAGGCGACTCTCCAGAACGTTGCTCTCATGCCTCGCATCATTACTGCCGTTGGCGCTGCTGTGCGATAACACTCGCTCTTTATTTCCCTTTCCAGGCTGCGGGTTGGATTTCCAGCAAGCTTCGCACCCCGGAGAAAAGAGGAGCTGATGTGAGAGAGGAGAAATGGATACGTCCATGGTGGGAAGGTGCCGTGTGCCCCAGCTCCTGGTTCTTCTCACGTTGGTGCTCAGTGGGGAGAGAACCGCGGCACAGAGAGCAGGTACGCGCTCCGCTCGCTGACCCGGAGCTGCTGGGCTCTCCCATGGTGGGAACCATCAGTTCCAGGAGGAAATCTATAGACAACCCATGATATTTACTGCTGGAAATACGTAAAATAGGCCTTAGGGATGGAGAAAGCTCAGGGGTCAAGGCTGTGATTGACCTGGGGTCTTTGGTTCTGCTGCAGGTGTAGAAAGTTTAGCTCAGCTGCCCACAGCAAGAGGAGCAGCTCAGCACAGCTTGCTCTGGGTGTGCTCCAAACTGGCATGGAGGTGGTGACTTCCTCCATCACCTCATGTGGGTGTCAGATGAGACCTGGTGAATCTTCTGCTTGGCTGGGACCTCCTTGTGAGCTAAACAGGGCCAGGGCACTCTTCATATCCTCCCCTGATTCCAGACACTTGAAGGATGCATTGATGTGGTGCTTAGGGACAGGGTTTAGTGAGGGACTTGACAATGTTGGGCTAATGGTTGAACTTCATGATCTTAAGGGTCTTTTCCAACCTAAATTACTCTAGGATTCTGTGTTTCTCTTCTGTCTGGTTATTAGCATGGTTTCTGGCACAGCTTTTGGCCTGGGCTCATGAACCCTCTCCCCCAAATGCCACTAAAGGCATTAGAGGATGGTGTAGCTCAGGGACTGTCCTTACAGGGATCCTTGATAAGGACACGTTGCTTTTTGTGTGGCAGAAAGAAGAGTTATCTGACATCAGTGATGCCACACCTCAAATGAAAAATGGTTGTAGACCCACACAATTTTTTATAAGAGCCCAAAGGCATTTTTAGATAGAGGCTTTTTGTCTCTTTTTCTAGGAAAGCTGCTATTCTGTGGGCTTGGGTAATTTATAAAAAAGGAAAGACTTTTTTAGACCTTTTTCAGTTTAAGGAACAGCTGCTTTACAGCTTTCCTATATGATCTCTCTATGGTTTTTTTGGGTGAAGTTTACCAGAAATAAATACCTAGTAACCAAACAAAGTGAAATCTCACTTTTTTTTCTGCTTCTGGGCCTGTCACAGGCAGAATATAGTGAAGCCATTTATATGTTCGTTCTGTGCTTACTTTAAATAATTTTGGGCTTATGGCTTGTTTGTGAACTATTTTTAAAGGAAATATTGCAAAACATTTGGTTCAGTGTGAGTAGATGAGCACAACTCTTTGAATTGTGCTCCCAGAGAGCATTTCTGCAATTACAAAACTGAATTTTTTCTTTCTATGAGTTAAATCCCATATTCCCTTAACACGAATGGAATTGTTTCTGCCGGTAAAAAGTACTGTTATGGCATTCTTGGAAAACAATCAATTTTGTCTAGAAGTGGACATTAGAGTGCTGAAAATGTAGATTAGTATTTACTAAAAGCACTTCTGCAGCATTTCATCTCACTGCCACCAGGTCTGTAAGCAAAGAATCACCAATGCCAAAAAAAATGATCCTGAAAGACCATGTTTTTCCTCCCTGCAATACTGCCTTGAATAGGCTTCACTTTTTAAACCTTAATTCCCCCTTGTTTTAAGGCTCATTGCCCTTGAACACAGACAGGATTCATTCTGTCTGTTCTGTTTGTTTTGAAATTGCTCTTGTCTCACCTGCTGAGAGTCATTAAAATAAGTAACAGGAAGGCCTTGTGGGTGTTGCTCTCTAGTTAGTCTCACCTAATTAACATTCTTTCAGCCAGAATAGATTCATATAATAATGAATTTTGGAAAGAGGCAAGGTGGAGAAGTATAAGCTTCTTTCTTACCTTTTACTGTTAATATTTTTACATTTTGTATTCTCCAAAAATCAAGCAGAACCATAATTGAGAGCCCAGCTGATATTCACAGAAGTAACTTGCATGCCATAACATAAAATGGTTTAAACCATCATCTCCACTCTTAGACTGCCTTTGAAAGAGTTTTCCCAGACAGACTTTTCTTGCTCTGGAGTTGGAGACAAGCACTCCCTCACTCACAAAATGCCATCACAGAACACAGTCCCACATGCAGATTTTGGCTGGGACACAGTTAATTTTCCTCACAGTAGCTGCTCTGGGGCTGTGCTTTGGATTTGTGCTGGAAACAGTGCTGATGACACAGGGCTGTTTTTGTTACTGCTGAGCAGAGCTCACACTGAGCCAAAGCCTTTTTATTCCTACTCCCACCAGACAGGAGGCTGGGGAGAACAAGAAATTGGGAGGGAAAAAAGTTGGGACAGCTGCCCCCAGCTGACCAAAGGGATATCCCAAACCATATCATGCTCAGAAATAAAACTCTGGGGGGACACTTGGCTGGAGACTGTGACTCAGCCAGTGGTGAGCAACTTTTTTCATTTGCATCACTCCTCTTTCTTGGGTTTTATTTATATATCTTTATTATTTTGCTCTTCATTACAACTTCATTTATATTTATTTTATTTTATTTTATTTTATTTTATTTTATTTTATTTTATTTTTAAATTTCATTTCATTTCATTTGATTTCATTTCATTTCATTTCATTTCATCTTTCTTCTCTCAACCCATGAGTTTTCCACCTTTCCAGTTCTCTTCCCCCCAGTCCTGCTGAGGGCAGTAAGCAAGGGGCTGTGTGGTGCTCAGTCGCCAGCTGGGGTTAAACCACAACTACAGGTTGTTTCCAAAGAGATCCCCTGTGGATGGGCTGGTCCCAATGTGATCCCAATCCCATGAGCAGAGGCTGTTCCCACAGGCCCTGCAGCAGCTGGGATGTGCTGGGATGGGCTCTGCTACAGAAATCAACACAGCAGCAGGTGATGCTCCTTTCTCATCGCCTGCCACACTCCAGGTGTACATCCAATCATTCTCATGGTCATCATGCAATGCCTTGAGCACTGATCTACTCTTTTATAACACTTTTACTCTTTTCTGAAGGCAAATTCTCTCTGTGTAGCTGAGCTATCCACTCCCTCCTTTCCAGAGCCATGGGCTGTTGAGGAATTCTTCCATTCCAGGCAGGGTGACAACCCTGGGATGAGCAAAAAGATCCAGACATAATTTGTGTCAAAATCTGAGTGTGGGAGAAGAATGTGTGACCTTCCTGTAGGTTCAAATGCTGGAATTCAGTAGGAAATGTATAACTCTACCACTGGTCAAACATGCAATTGTAGTTTTTGAGACAAGGTGAGACAAGAACTTTTGGAGAAGCAACGGTTGGCAGCTGTGACAAAACTGACTTTGTGGAGCAGGTTTTGGTCTTAAAACTCTATGGTCTAAAATATTGTTTAAATAAATATAAGCATAATTACTATGCCTAATAAATATAAGCATATTTATATATATATATATATATACACCTTTTGTCCAGTTGAGGCATTATATTGATAACTCTTGGCCACTTTTATGGGCCTAGAGCTTCCTGACTTGCATGTATTCAGAAACAGCTAAGAAACATCTCCTTACAGATCTGCTTTCTTTTGGCAAGTGTCTGACAAATATGCAACCAGTCTGGACTGATATAGGGCAAGCAAGTTGCAATTAAAATAGCTTTTTGGTTTGGATTATACAGGCCTCACATTGCAAATATCATGGCTGGAGGCAAAGGGATGGTTGTGGGGATAAGTTAACTTTTCCCTTACAAGGCAACTGCCTTTTGTTGTTGGGGAACACATTCCAAAATTCAGTAAGTCATCCTTTAGTCAATAGGCAGTGGTAGAAAGCCTCAAATTTGAAATAATCTTGTTACAGGCCTGCTACACCAACATATGCTGGGCAAAAGAACTGCTTCTAGCTAAGCATAAATGAATCATAGCATTAATGCAAGAGGGGACATGAAAGCTTCATTATTCAGGGTCAGGATTGGCATAGGCAAGGTCAGGACAGGGCTTTTGATCTGTCCAGGTCATTTCAGAGCACTGCCTGAGCAAAGGCACTGCAATGAAGTCAGAGAAAAATATCTTCATGCAGGGGGTATAGCTGAAGGATTGAGCTGAAGTAGTTAGAAACAGAAAATGGAAAGGGTTTGCATTTCGAAGCTGAGTCTGTGCTGCTCTGTAGATGTCCTGAAACTGATGAGGTGAATCACAGGGAAGAAGAGCCTGGAATCTGCACTTGCTCTGCAGGACAGGGAGAGGGTTTGCTGCCTCCTCCAAACTGCTCCCTAGGGAGCTGTGTCCAGGGAAGATTTGTTATGTCTGGTCCTCTGCATTCATCTCCCCTTAACAACGTGTTCTGCCTCTCCTGCAGGTTGCAAGAGCGTTCACTACGACCTTGTCTTCCTCTTGGACGCCTCCTCCAGTGTTGGAAAAGAAGATTTTGAGAAAGTTCGTCAGTGGGTGTCCAATTTGGTGGAAACCTTTGAGATTGGCCCAGACAAGACCCGAGTGGGGGTGGTGCGGTACAGCGACCAGCCGAGCACTGAGTTCGACCTGGGCAAGCACAGAACCCGTGAGGAGATCAAGGAGGCTGCACGACAGATCCAGTACTATGGGGGCAACACCAACACTGGAGATGCTCTCAGGTACATCACCACCTACAGTTTTTCCAAAGAAGCCGGTGGGAGACTTAGTGATCGAACTGTTAAAAAAGTGGCCATCCTTTTGACTGATGGAAGGAGCCAGGATTTTGTCTTGGATCCAGCCACTGCAGCCCATCAGGCTGGGATTAGGATTTTTGCTGTGGGAGTTGGAGAAGCCTTAAAAGAGGAACTTGATGAGATTGCCTCAGAGCCCAAGTCCGCTCATGTGTTTCATGTCTCTGATTACAATGCCATCGACAAAATTCGGGGGAAGCTGAGGAGGCGTCTCTGTGAGAGTAAGTAGAGCTTTCCTTTCTGCAGAATTAGGACAGGTTCAGTTAGCATAGATACGAATATTAGATATGCTAATTTCATGTAGATATGAAAAGGTATGATTGTTTTCTTTCTATAAGTATGCTTATACTTTATTTTCATGTCTTCTACCCAGTTCCACTCTGTAAGAGATCACTGTTCAAGGCCAGGTTGGGAGCAGCCTGATCTAGTGGAGTACTGCTTATGGCAGGGATTTGGAATTAGGTGATCTTTAAGGTCCCTTCCAACCCAAAGTATTCTCTGATGTTGTGACTCTATTTTACTGCAGGAGATGTGATGGGTTTTTCTGGCAAGTCAGTATTAATTATAAGTCAGCTTCCAGAGTAAACCATGAATTCCCTTTTGGGTCTGATATAATTCAAATACTTTATAATAATTTGGACTACTTAATATGAATAGTGGCATCTTATTTATATCCAGATTTTGGTTTACTTTGTACAGGATGCTTTTCCCCTTTATTTTCTGGCCCTGTACTGTGGAGAGAATGCTCTGGGTGCTGCTGGGCATTATCCTTAAGGAAGCAAAGGGATCTTTGTGCTTTTCTGCCCCTCAGCATCTCATCTCTACTAACTGGTGCTCTCTAGCGCTCTGGCTGCCAACAGCATAAGCATTGGTGATGTTTTCAATGACTTTTAATGGAGAAAAGTGTGGGGATTTGCACTGCATAAATGACCCTGATTTTCCAGCTCCTTCATGAAGAGGATGGGAAGGCATGGTGGCTGCTATCTCCCAGAACCTTAATAGGAGCAGCAATCACACAGCCTGTTCTTCCATCACTGATAATTCACTCTCTTGTTCTTAGTGACTACATGAAAGCTGCCTGGTTTTGCTGCTTTTTGCAGTGTTTGTTGTGATTACTGTGAACAGGCCTTGTAGATGATGTTGTGAAGATCTGTTATTGCTTTCTGGAGCCTCCCTTTGCAAAATAAAAAAAAACCTCCCTTGGCTTATGTAAAGTCCTTAAAGAGTGGCAAGTGCAAGCAGGCAGAGTCTAGTTGACATTACCCAGCAATATCAAGATGTTTCTGCTTTTTTAGCCTAAACATAAATGGGAAATGGAGGGAGTAATCTCAATACAAATGGAAGTTATGGGGAATAATAACTGTAAACTATGCAGGAAGGAAGGAGTTTGTTTTTTTCTGTGAAAATCTTATGTAATCATACACACTGTGATGGTGTTCACAGGGGTCTTAGGATGAGGGAAGAGATGAGGATCTGACTCCACGTTTCAGAAGGCTTGATTTAATATTTTATGATATATATTATATTAAAACTGTACTAAAAGAATAGAAGAAAGGATTTTATCAGAAGGCTAGCTAAGAATAGAAAAGGAGGAATGATAACAAAAGCTTCTGTCTCAGACAGAGAGTCCGAGCCAGCTCACTGTGATTGGCCATTAATTAGAAACAACTGCATGAGATCAATGACAGATGCACTTGTTGCATTCCACAGCAGCAGATAATCATTGTTTACATTTTGTTCCTGAGGCCTCTCAGCTTCTGAGGAGGAAAAATCCTAAGGAAAGGATTTTTCATAAAATGTGTCTGTGACATACACACAACTGGGCTCTAGTAGAAAATGGCAAACCCTTCCAACTGGCACACTTGGCCAACTCAACATCCTGTTGCAGCTGCTGAACACCAAAAGTGTGATTTTCCTTTGCAATTCTCTCACTTTCCTTTTCCAAAGCAAGTGTTTACTCTGCTTTGTACCTGGGACATCATTTGTTGTCTGCTCAAAAAAATCTTTTACCTGCCTGTCAGAGTATAAAACTATCTGTCTGTGGCTTTCTGAGCCCATCCCATGACCACACAGACCAGCATAACACTTCTTGGACTGCAAAGGAGCATCCTTCATCCTGGATGACAGTCACTCCCCAAGGTGTTTGCTTCCACCTGCACTGGTGAGCTCAATGAGAAATGGGGGCTGTGCTCAGTTCAGAACACATCTCTGCTGCTCCTTCCTCCTGGAGAGGACTCCTCACACTCTTCCTCAGCTCCTCCCTCCACGTGTCCACAGGTCCTGCCAGGAGTTTTCTCCACATGTTAATGCAGTAGGAACAGGAAAGGAGGTCACTGTGATGGCTGGGCCTTCTACATGTTTAGAAGATCAAACTTTTAATAGCTGTTACACTTAACCTTGAGTGGTTTTAATGACAGCTCTGCATAAGTCATGAACATACAAACCATGTATGGGTGGGTGGAAAACATGACCAGGGCTGATGCCGAGCTGCTGTTTATTTTGTGCACATTCTGAGACAAAAGCATCTATTGCCACAGCCAGGCTCTGGTTTTAATAGACATAATCCTGTGTAAGCTCCAGGGAGACACATGAATCAAAGGGTGGAAATGGGAGGAAGATTTTTATTTGTACTGACCACTGATGAGTCCTCCAGCCCTGGTGCTGCTACTGAAATGTGGAGGGTTGTGAAGTGCTGTGAATGCTGGATTTCATGCCAGCAGCTGTTCAGAATTGCTTGTGTCAGGTCTCCCTGGACATCTGGCCTAGACTGTCATTCATTTTGCTATATTTGACTGAATTTATTGCTAGGAAGATGTCATTGAGGGCATTAATAGAATTTTAGCTCTCATTTGATCTTGTGGCAGTAAGCATAGCATAATAAAAAAAAAAACCCAACCCATGTCTGCTCAGTAGGACATTGTGGCAGGGGGAGATATTTTTGCCACATATCTCCATTACATTCTGGACTATAGCTGGCTGGCGAGAATGGGTGATGCTTTCGCAGGAAAGCAGGAGTGATACATTCTGATAAAAATTCCAGAGATGTTACGTTTCCTAAATACAGTTCCTGCTTATATGTTGTAGGGATAACAACAGGCAGCTATGGAATACTTAAAAATATACTAGATCTAAGGACTGTGATCACATGAATCTCAGATACTTTGCAAAGAGAAGATGAGGATGAATTCTTTCAATAATGAGTTGGTACCAATGGTTTGTCATTGATTTCTGTTGATATAGTGAGGTATGTGATAAGATATCAAAAGCAGTCACATGTCCAGATGATTCAAAACATTTATATTTCTATTTTTACATGTCTTTGTTGACTTTGGGTAGTGTATGAAGCGCACAAAATATGACATATGCTACCCCTATTCTATTACTGATGATGAAGGGCTTCCAGCCTTCAAAGCAACACCTTGAACATCCATCAAAAGTATACTCTGAAAGCTTCAGAAATGTCCTTTTTTGAGGTTGTCGTTGCCCAGGTTCATGATATATTCACAGAAGAACAGCAAGCTGTTTCTTTTTGGCCTTAAGTGCTAAAAATACCTCATGCACAGAGACCATGACAAAGGGTAGGCATCTGAATTGCCATATCTTGACTGACACTTCCTAAAGGACTTATCAGTACAGTCAAATCTCACAAAAGTACTGAAATATTGGAACACATCAACACCTAAGGATATATTCCACATTCTGCTGCTTGAGATAGTGTTCAGTTTAAGTGCAGGTACTAAGAATTTGACCATCACTTGAAAATCTAGTGGCTTTCAGATGGCTTTGGAAGCCTGTTAAAAGCTCAGCAGACAACTGCTGCTTTTTAAAAAGCTGCATCTGGGCAGTGACCCAGCTGATGTCACCTCTGATATGTCCTGCTGCTTCTTGATGCTGCACTCCCTCAGCTGTCCTGGTGTCTTTCTGTAACATCTCCATCTTCCAGCAATCACTCGTGGCACAGACCACAGGATCACTCATCCTTTCATCACCACATTTTCTGGCTAATTGCAGCTTCCTCTGAAGGCATGAAAGGTCTGTGACAGAATTTCCAACTGATTTACCTTTTCCTTGAAACTAAAGGAAAAAAAAGACTTTTCATGGATGTCAGGAGACAAAATGTTTTTTTAGTGGTGATCTTCTGCCATTTAGTTGAGGGACTGTCTGGTATCTTTTGGCTCCTGGAAGCACAGCAGAGATATTCAGATATTCTTTTTCTCTTACAGAACCTTTTATTTTCAAATCAAATGTCTGAAACTCTCAGATCTAATTTTCCATTTGGTCCAGTCATCACCAGCTTAGAGAGAAATGGTTCCAGAGCTGGTGTCTGGCAGGCAGTTTTGAACTCTGTGGATGAGCTGTGGCTGCTAGTTGTCCCTCACTTTCTCCACAGATCATGCAGAAGTGATTGTTCTCCCAGAGCATAACTACAGCTCTGTTCTGGCACTATGTAATCTCCACATCATTTAAATGTTGCATGTCCAAAGAAGGGCATCAAAGCTGGTGAAGGGTCTTTATTGTGAGTCCTTTGAGTGGTGGCTGAGGGAGCTGGAAGTTTAGCCTGGAGGAAAGCAGCTGGGTTGGAATCTTATTGTTTTCTACAGCTCCCTGAAAGGATAATGCTTTTATATTTTTGAGATTCTGTACTGCGTTAATGTAGAACTGAACCCCATTTAGGGTGTTAGTAAGCTCTCTTCACATTTTGGTCAGACAAAATGATCCCTCCAGGCCTGACAGCCAAGGACAGCCCCAGCCTCAGACCCTGAAAAGCAAAAATAAAAGTGAATTGAGGGGAAGCAAATTGGGGGAATATGATTTTGTTACCTTAAGTTGTAACTGAACAATTAACCCCTGATATATTAATAGACCAAACCTGTATCTGTCTGAAAGCCTTGTGACCATTGTCCATCTTGGGTGGAGTCTCTGTGAGGCTTTTGCACTGCCTAAGGTGTATCTACTGAGGGCCTTTAATAAATATCTACTTTATTTTCTAAGGTGTATTAAGGTGTATCTACTAAGGGCCTTTATTTCCTGACTCTGTCTAGCCTCTGTTCTAGGCAACCATTCCAGGGCACCACAGCCATGCGGGGATTTGTCTCTTCTCCTGGGTAGCAAGCAAGAGGACAAGAGGAAACGACCTCAAGTTTCACCAGGGAAGGCTTAGATTGGATGTTAAGAAAAATTCCTTCACTGAAAGGATTGTCAAGCAGTGGAAGAGGTCTCC